CAGAGATGCACCACGGCCACTGGACTGAGCTCCAAGTCTGTCCCCTGCACACAGAGGCCATAAGCCCTGCCTGCCATAGTCAGATGGAGACAGGGGCCTGGGATACTTGGGGACGCCAAAGTTCAGGCCTTCCTAGCTTGGAGGAGCAATGCCAACAGGGTTTGAGGATCTCCACCTTCCTCGTATCCTCCAACACATGAGACTGGAGGAAATATCTGCCCTACTTATAAGTCCCTGGAGCATGTCAGGAGTGACTTGTCATTTTCCCTGTGGTGAGAGCAGAGGGGGAGAGTGAACCCCCAAGGGAGCTCTTAGGATCCTTTCTTGCCTTGGAAATAAGATTCAGGCAGTCACTCTCTGCCTTTGAGCTGGCCTGGTAGGAGACGGACGGGATGGACTAGCCTGTTGGTCCAGACCCAGCCTGGCCTGCCTCTCAAAGGGTCAACAATGATAACCAAGGCCTCACTGGTTTTATCAACGGCTCCGGGGACAGCCCTGTGATAATCACAGAGCTGTTCAGGGCCTGCCCACTACTGAGCACAACCTACTCCAGAGCCAAAACTTCCAACAAATTGAGGGTTTGACCTCCTGGAGGGAAAGCAGCCACCTGATTGTCTGAATTACAGATTTTTAATCTGCTACCTTAGCCACATGAGGAGAAAAGACAAATTTGCCTATGAGCCTACCCAGCTACAGAGACAACTTAACTCTGGGCTTAAAATAAAACAAAGGTTATTTGAAACTACTTTCACTGGGTTCTTTAAACAGGTTAATTTTTTTTTAAAGATTTATTTATTTGAGAGAGAGAGAGAGGGAGAAGTAGACTCCCCGCTGTGCAGGGAGCCCAACACGGGGCTCCATCCCAGGACCCCGGGATCACGACCTGAGCCGAAGACAGACGCTTAACTGACTGAGCCACCCAGGCACCCAAAAACAGGTTAATTTTCAATGACACCTGCAGTGAGTTGACAGATGACAAATTAGGAAAACAAATGACATGAAGTTAAGTGTTTTGACTGAAATTCTAACAATGTGAGAATGCGTTTGCTGTGCAGATGTTGAACTCCGTGTTTTCCATCCAGTCCAAGGATTTTACGAGTTGCCTTTGTTACTATTTAATCCGGAAGCGAAGTGGGCAGAACTGCATGTTCAAGTTGGCCAGCCTGCCAGTCGGCATTTGAGCTGCTTTTGACCGCAGACATACAATCTCTGATGGAATCTGGTTCTTGGACAACTCGGTGTGGGATGCTGGGACTTCCTTCCCACAGGCCCCATGTACTGACTGAGCCCTGAGCCAAAAGGGCAGCTATGGCAGCAGCTCAGCTCAGGGTGCAGGCCTGGGGATCCCTGGGGCTTCCCTCTGAGGTCCCTTGTTGGTTCCCTGGCCCCAGTCCTGCCTGCCTTTCAGTCCTTGCTTCTCAAAGTGTGGTCCGTGGACCAGCAGTATATAGCATTACCTTGGAGCTTGTTGGAAATTTGGAATCGTGGACCCCGTCCCAGACCAACAGGATCAGAATCTTCATTTTACCAGGAGAGCCAGGTGAACTGTATGCACATTAGTTTGGGAGTCACTGCTCTAAGAAGTGCTCCAGAGGGATTTCTGGAGCACAAATCCACCCCTGTCGTTGCTCATTCAGCATGCCCAACTGGGCCCTTCGCGGGAGGACCAGCTCTCCTGCTTCTTCTCCCTATAGCTCTCCACCCTCACTGGTGAAGTCTGAGTTCAAGCTCTGGCTCTGGCACTTCCTGGTCATACAACCCTACGCAGGGCATCTGACTTCTATGAGCCTCACTTTACTCATCTGTAAAATGGAGACAATGACAGCAATCACATGGGTCTGACGTAAGACAAGGAAATAATGGTGTGAGGACTAGGACTCTTCGGTCTTATTTCTTCCTTGGCCCCCACTCCCATGCATTCTGTTCACTGCTGGCATCTTTGTGAATGTACATTTTTAGGAATCACCCAGCAAGATCCATTGCCTTTGGAAGATACTATGTAGCACGGTGGCTAAGAAGAGCGTGGGCAACGCAACCAGATGGGCCAGAGTTCAAATTTCGACTCTCTCTCTGAGCCTTGCTTTTCTCCTCTGTAAAATGGGGTTGACAGGAAAGTGATATGACAATCAAAAGAAGTAAGTAATGCCTGTGAAGTGTGTGGCACACAACACACAATTAGTGACAAATCTCGGTATTATTATTATTATTATTATTATTACTATTATTACCCATCCCCGGTAGCACAGAGAAATGGTGGGAAGGGGTAAATGGGTAAATACCATGCAAATAAACTGGCACAGCCCCCACTCCGGAAAACAGTACGGAGTTTCCTCAAAAAGTTAAAAATAGAGGGGCTCCTGGGTGTCTCAGTCAGTTAAAGCCTCTGACTCTTGGTTGCAGCTCAGGTCATGATCTCAGGGTCGGGAGATTGAGCCCCACATGGGGCTCCGTGCTCAACGAGGAGTCTGCTTGTCCCTCTTCCCCTACTCCCCTCCATCCCCTGCTCTCCCTTTCTTATAAATAAATACAATCTTAAAAGAAAAGTTAAAAATAGAACTACCCTACGATCCAGCAAATGCACTACTAGGTATTTGCCCGAAGACGACAAAAACACTAATTTGAAGGGATACATGCACCCCGACGTTCACAGCAGCATTGTGTACAATAGCCACATTATGGAAGCAGCCCAAGTGTCCATTGACTGATGAATGGATATACACAATGGAATATTATTCAGCCATAAAAAGAATGTAATCTTGCCATTTGCAATGACATGAATAGAACTAGAGAGTATACTACTAAGTGAAGTAAGTCAGCCAGAGAAAGACAAATACTATATGATTTCACTCGTATGTGGGATTTAGGAAACAAAACAAACCAGCTAAGGGAAAAAAGGAGAGAGAGAGGCAAACCAAGAAACAGACTCTCAACTATAGAGAACACACTGATGGTCACCAGAGGGGAGGGGTTAGGGGGATGGGCGAAATAGGTGATGGGGATTAAGGAGGGCACTTGTGATGGGCACCAGCTGATGCATGGAAGTATTGAATCACTATGTTATACACCTGAAACTAATATTACACTGTGTTAACTGGAATTTAAATAAAAACATAGGAAAAAAACCTACTACACCGTATATGAAAAAAAATATCATGCAAATATAAAGCATTATTAATGCTGACATTCCGTGTACTTATTTCAGACAGCCTTTGGCAGTCGAGTTAGTCCTGACAATTAATGCTTCTCTCTCTGCCTACAGAGCATTGCTCTCTACATTACCCATGGTTGTCCTTGACCTGACCCACCTGCTTTCTCTCAGCATATAGTCTGGCCCGGTCACTCATGCGGCTTAGCTTGCAATGGCTGGTCGAGGAAAAGGGGCACAGCCTGCAGATCTACAGCAATGCTTTTCAATCTAGGCTGTGTTTGGAAGTGCCAGGGGTAGAGAGGAGGTGGGGGGAAGGACTTTAAAATCTACTGATGCCTGGGGCCCACCCACTGACATTCATTTGATTGATCTGAGGTGTGTCTAGGTTCTGGGACCCTTTAAGTCTTCCCAGGTGACTCTAATATGCAGCGGGAGTTGAGAGACACCTCTCTCATCTACAGGATGAGGAGGACAAGCTCTAGAAAACTCCCTCCTGGCTCACACACGGGGGAATACCTTCTCTACTCTCTACCCCAAAAGGGGGCCCAAGAGGAACGCTAATTTATTTCAAAAGCAAAGGCCTCCCCTCCCAGAAGCAATAAAACCTCAAATGGGCCCAGAGCCCAGTAATTGAATCCTTGATTGATGGGGATATTTTTGTTCTTTGTGAAAACCAACTAAAGCAGTTCAGCCTCAGGAGTTTAAGGAGCAGCTTTAAAGAGCCAGGCCCACCGCGTGTCCCTCTCGACTCACCTCTTAAACCCCCCAAGAGCACCCCGTGGCAGTGAAGTGTCCAGAGACCCAGCCTGAATCCACAGGTGCCCCATTTGCTGTGCAATCCAACTGACACTTCAGTTACTAAAGACAGACATCATGGAGTGGTGTGTTTTGGGAAGTAGTTTCAACATTAAGGACTAAACATGAAAACCAAAAAAGATTTCCAATGGATCAGAACACCTGAGTCCCTGAGCTTCCCCTCCCCCCTACCCCAATGATTTATTTCAACCCATGAGGAATTCTAGGCCCCAAAGGGGATCTATTTTTCAGGCTTTTGCAAAACGAACCGGGGAGCCCTCTGCCTACCCTGTTGACACAGGAGTTATGAGTGGCTCTCGAAGGCAGTTGGCCGTTGGTTGCTGGCTCACCTGTGGCTAGAGTGGTCTGACTGGGCAGGTGTGACCTGGGCCACAGGTGATGAGGAGGGGCAGGAGTTGAGATCATGGGGAGCATTAGCATCGTGCCCAACTTTGCCAAGGAGCCCTATGCCTGGGACCAGTGATTCTCCCCTGGGCTATGGGCACAAAGCTCTGAACACCCATTCCCTTTCCCACATGCTAGAGATGTCCCTGCTGGGAATCTGCTGGGAGCCTGCTGGGCCCCTGGGCAGAGAAAAGGTCAAGCTGCTGCCCCCCCATCCCCAAGCGTACCTATTGCTCATGCTCATTCCCTCGGATGCCCCCCCAGCTCCTGACTTCTGGGCAGACTCCCACTCAGCCTCCGAGACCCAGCCCAAAGCTTTCAGGCCCCATCAACCACGCCAACCTCTGGGCAGCTCCTTAAATACAGTTCCTCCATAAGTACCTGTGACTAGGGGCTGACTGGCATGTTGATCTCCTGTAACCACACAGTAATGAGGTCCACCCTTGATTTAATAGGACAATGACAGACATGCAGTTGGGAAGGACAGAGATGGGGGAGAGACAGAGAGATAAAGAGATAAAGAGAGACACAGACAGGAGACAGGGAGAGACAGATATATATATATATATATATAGAGAGAGAGATATATAGAGAGAGAGAGACAGAGAGAGAGAGAGAGAGAGAGAGAGGCATCTTTTCCGGGGATTCTTACCAGTTCCTTCCTGAGCCAGGCTATAGCTTCGTCAATACTTTCAAAGCCTTCCAGCTTGCCGGTGGGCTGGGGCCCAGCGTCCTGGCTGGCACTCCCATTGGGTGGGGGATGCTGCCTGGGCTCTCTCCTCGGGGATGAGGGCTCCTCCTCCCCACGCTCCCCCTGCTCAGCAGCTGGCCTTGGAAAGGGCCATGTCGGCTCCTCCAGCCTGGCCTGCCATTCCAAGTAGGAGGGCCTTCGGGTCTCCAGCCTCAGTTTCTCAGTGAGAGCCTTCAGGCTCCGGAGGTGGTCGTCGGGAGGCAGGGCTTCTCCTGCCGTCTCTTCTTGCCCACCTGCCGCTTCTTCTACTTGGATCTGAGGCACAGACATTCTAGAGTCTGCTGGGGCAGCCGAGCATGGGAGGTGGTGGGGGGCAGTGTGCGAATCTTGGTGGGTGGCAAGGTTGGGTCCCACTCAGGAATGGTCTCATCCAGCTGGGGTCGGGGCTCCTGAGGGCATTGCTGGGATGTGAGCAGCTCCCGGAGCTGACGGGGACGGTGGATGAGCCACACGGAGTGCCCTCCAGAGCCGCTGTGGAGGCTCAGGATTTAAGATTCTTCTCGGAGTCCTGTGGGTGCCATGTTTCACAAAAGGGCAGGAACAGACAAGCGTCAGCAGGAATCTTTGGGGGCAGATTTGCCAAGAAGAGCTCTCAGTCCTGGAGGTGCGGGCGGATGGGGGGGGGAAGCAGGACTCAGCTCCCTCCTCACGGGCAAGGGCAGGCGGGGAGAGGCTGCCAGCTGGTTGGAGGAGGCCCTGCAGGAAGGATGCAAATGATGTCAGTCCTAATCCCTCCCCTGGCAGCAGGCCTGCCACATGCCTGAGCTCCTCAGGAGGGGAAACCGAGGCTCAGAGAGGTGAGGTGACAGGGCTGCCTACTGCTCACTCAGGACGAGAAGTGAGGCGATTTCAAGTCTTAACGCAGAGAAGTTAATAATAAATCAATGCTCTGTACGGTGTTTCACCGTCTAACAAAAGGAATTATCACATTCAGTCCCCAAGGCAAGTCTGTAAGTTACTTCTTTCTGTCCCCATTTTACATGCAAGGAACCTGAGGCTCTGCGAGTTTGAATGACTCACCAGAGAGCTCCTGGCAATTAGCGAGGACAAGGCTGAGCTGTCTGATTCTGAAGGGTCAGGTCTCTCCTCTGAGCGACAGCCAGCGACCTGTGGGTCCCCAGGCCGACACAGCTGGCCCCCCCCCCCCCCCGCCCCCCACAGCCCCTGTCCTCAGGCGCTGGCTCTTCCACTCTCAGCTTCTTCCTCCAAGAACACCACCTTACCTCACCTCTTCTGAGGAGGAAGCAAATAAACCTGCAACAGCTGAGGGAAGAGCTGACCTCCCTCAAGGAGGACTGTTAAACCGAGCAAGGATTGTGACTCACTGTTCTAGAAAGATGGTTCCCACATTTACCTAAAATGCCCGCACTGCAGCGCCTCATGGACAAGGGCGCGGCTCTCATCAGATTTGGCCTTCCCAACTCTGGGGAGGTGGTCTGAGCACATGGTAAAGAAGGAGCTCCGGGTCCGAGTGAGAGACCCCAACCTCCCAGCCACTTCCCTGCACCCACGGGGTCCAGGCAAGTGGAGATGGGCACATCAGAGTAGGGGACATTTGACTTGAACCAAGGAGAGAAGTCCTTGGTTCTCAGGGTGATCTTTAAAAACATGTGCTGAGGGCATGCAGAAAAAGAATGAATTCATGTGGAATGATGTCCAAGATAAAGCTAACACGAAGAAAACAAACAAGACATTCATAGTCTGGAGAGTGTGCTGTTGGTGTGGAAAGGGAGGAGAAGGGACAGATTTTTATTGACTTCCGTGAGCCTAAAAAGATCTCTGCAAGGAGAAAAACTAAGAGTTCTGATTCCTTGTTTGGGTGATGGGAACTGGGCACAGGGTGTTGGTGGACAGACAGAGGAAGAGGCAGAGAGTTGGGCAGGGGCAAAATAAAAACATAGTCTCAGCGCCCCAGGGAAGCTCTGGGGCTTTTCTCCCACCCAGCAATGGAGATGTTCAAGAAGAACAGACTGGGTGGCTCAGTCGGTTAAGCAAGCGTCCACCTTCGGTTCAGGTCATGATCCCAGGATCCTGGGATTGAGTCCAGCATCAGGCTCCCTGCTCAGCGGGGAGTCTACTCCTCTCTCTCTCTCTCTCTCTGCCCCTGCTCACACTCTCTTCCTCTCCTTTCTCTGTCTTTCAAATAAATAAAATTTGGGGGCACCTGGGTGGCTCCATCATTTAGGTGTCTTCCTTCAGGTCAGGGTGTCCTGAGATCGAGCCCCATGTTGGGCTCCCTGCTCAGTAGGGAGTCTGCTTCTCCCTCTGCCCCTCTCACCCCATTTGTGCTTGCTCTCTCTCTCTCAAATAAATAAAATCTTAAAAAAGAAGAAGAAGAAGAAGAAGAAGAAGAAGAAGAAGAAGAAGAAGAAGAAGAACAGAGCTTGCTGTTTTTTTGGACTGTTTCTATAATCCCTGCCTGCAACTCGATCTGACCAAAGGAAGTCTGGCTGTCTTCCCCATGCTCTGAGTCTGGCCCATTTGGGGGCATCCCTGAGGAATGAGGAGGAATATTCTATCCCAACCAATGGCAGAGAAACCTAGTTCTCACCTCTAGCCACCCAGATGGGAATTCTCAGAGGAACTTCCACAAAAATGAATTTTCAGGCTCCACTCCCAGGGGTTCTGATTCAATTAATCTGGGGCAGCACTCGGCCATCAGGGTGTTTTTAAAGCCCCCCAGGGGATGTGAGTGAGCGGCCAGGGCTGGGAACCACTGGTCTTGAGCTAGAAACCCTAGACTAGGGATCAGATGGCCAAACTGTAGGTGCTGTCAGGCTTGCTGAGCCTCAGTTTCCTTGTCTATAAAATGGGGGTGATAATACCAGCCTCCTAGGTTTGGGGGATTGGCAGAACTAAGTTTCGTACACACTTTCTGCAGGTTTAGGATGCTTTGCAAATGCTGGGTGTTCTCAGGAGGGGCTTCCTGCGCAGTTTCAAGGTCACACAGGTTTCTTTAGAATCTCTCAGAATCTAGAGACCTATTAGCAGCCCCTCCCAGGCGCTGGAGGCCTCTTTGCAGAATGTTTTGAGTGTGCCTCGGGGTGGCTCTACCTTACAGGATTCTTTCCCCCCCAGACAGGGGAGCTCTGATGGTTTCCAGTGAAGCTTTGTGGAGAGGATCTAATCGCAGACAAACCGTAAGTAATGCTCCCTCCACACCGCAGTTGTGTGAGCAGATGACACGGACTGTTCTCTCCCTGAGCTGCACACTTCACTGCAGAAGGCAGGGGCAGCTGTGGCTGGAGGGAGAACCTGTTAGGGAAGGGTCTTCCCTTTGGAGTGGGAAAGAGCTATGACTCCAGGACTTTATGAGGCTGCCTCCAAGGGTAGGGAGAGTTTATTTTAATTGGCGGTTTCTAAAGTAATCCAGAGAAGGCCTGTGAAGACGGTGTCAGAAGGACTTGGAGGCATTAACAGGAGCGCCAATGCACTGTGAGTCAGCTAATGATGATCCTTTGATCTGCTAAGCTTAGGGAGTGTGTGAAAGAACCCGTGTACGCATACTCTCTCTCAAGCCTCCCAGTGGCCCCGAGGAGCAGGTGGGATCACCCCATTTCACAAATGAGAAAATCAAGGTTGGGAGGGGTGAAGTGAGTCACCCCTGACCACAGACAGGTGCCGGCAGCCGGATTTGGGTACAGTCTTTGGACTCTGGCTGGCCTCTGTCTACTCCAGAGGTTAGACCCCCTGCCAAGGGCGCCCCGTTCTGTGATCTTGGACATGTCGCTTCTCGACCACTCTGTGCCTCTGTGTCCTCTTCTAAGGAGAGGAGATAACCAGGATTGTCTACAGAATTTGCTGGGCTCGGCGCAAAATGAAAATGCAGAGCTCCTTGTGGAAAAGTATTAAGAATTTCAAGATGGCAACTGCAGAGCATTTCTGCAGGCACGGGGCCCAGTGGGGCTGCCCAGTCCCCTCGCTCATGAAGCCGGCCCTGATGGTAATAATATCAGCTTCATGAGCCATTTCCAGGATTGAAGTAACAAATATCGAGCCCTTCCCATGGTGCCTGCTCTATGGTAAGCCCTAGACAAAGTTATACTTTAAAGCTATTATTCTTAAGATGATGAAACCTATGAGTGCTACATCAGTCATGTGACCAGATAAACTACTCTGTGCTGCACTGAGCAGTCACCCCGTTCATCCCAGACCTGCTGGGTGGCCTGAGCCACTACCTGCACCCTGCATCCTTCCCTCAAAGCTGACTGAGATGACGTCGATTGGCCCCAACTCCCCCCAGATGTTCAAGTCTCCCCCTCAGAGTCTCATCATGCAGCGGTGACTAGCAGGTCTGCCACAGGAAGGAGAAGAAAAGCCCAGCTTGGAAAACACCATTCTCCATAGCCCTACTCCCTTCGCTCCCTGCTCCTATTCTAAACACCCCTGTCCACCGCTCAGGGCCCCAGAAGTGACCATCTTTTTTTTTTTTTAAGATTTTATTTATTTATTTGAGAGAGAGAATGAGAGACAGAGAGCACGAGAGGGAAGAGGGTCAGAGGGAGAAGCAGACTCCCCGCTGAGCCGGGAGCCTGATGCAGGACTCGATCCCAGGACTCCAGGATCATGACCTGAGCCGAAGGCAGTTGCTTAACCAACTGAGCCACCCAGGCGTCCCAGGAGTGACCATCTTTGACAGTGTGTTATCCACATGGTAAGAGCAAAGGCAGGGGGCTGAATGCCTCAGCTCTGGCCCCAGATGTGCTCCCCAGAAACCCAGTGCTGGGGCTCAGCTCTCTCCTCTCAGCCTCCGTTTCCTCCTCTGTACAAAGGGGCTTCCTACCCCAACCCGCCTCATGAGGATGCTGGGAGGATCAGCTGGAAATCTGGTGCATGAAAGCTCTCTGCAACCTTTGAAGATCTGTACCCACCTGAGGATTATTATTAGCATCAAGGCATGTGTGGGGTGTGGAGCACCCTGAGTCAGGGACTCTCCACTTGAGGTGTGTGGTCACCTGTAGCAGGCAGGGACGGAGTCCTAGACTGCTTCCCACGGCCCCCAGCACATGCAGGTGGTGTGGATTTGCTGAAACAGGACCCGTTCTCCATTCTCCTGGTCCTCAGATGGTGTCCCGGGGATCGCTGCCCCTCTGGATGCCCTGGTGCCCAAGAGCCCCTGTGGAGTTGCTCCCCCTCCCCTCCAGCTAGGCTGCCAGGAGCTCAGCTGGAATGTCACGACTCAGGTCACCACAGGGATGTGGGCACTTAGTGGGCACTCAGCTGGGTGCAGGGAGCAGAAGCCAGCCCTGGACGGCTCCCTGGTCTGAAAGAGCAGTAGAGACTTCCCTTTCCTCTGCACAAACCGGGGATTTGGGAGCACAGGCGCTGGGAGGAAGAGCCCTCCAACACCTGGGCAAAGGGGCTTGCTTTATATCTAACCTAAGTCCTTCCTGCTGCTGGGGAACACATTTTCTCTCCCTCTGAGCCTTGCAAAGGTGGACAGCCTGGGGAGGAAAGCTAAAGGATGCTGGTAGAACCAGGCGCCCAGAAAAACAAGGTCAGACCCTAATCCCACCACGCCCAGGCATGCTCTGCCAGGCGGGCCACCCGGCTGCCGGGGGACGTGAAATTTCCCGCAACAGAAGACAAGCCTCAGGGGCGCATCCACCTTATTGTGGTAGAGACAAGCCAGCGCCCGGGGACCTGCGCTGCCTGGGAGGACTGCTGCTCGAACACGTTCCTGGCTCACTCCAGCC